ATAGGTATTTGCCATCTCTTATTTCTGGGACTCTGATCCAAGAACAAACAGCAAGAGGACCATGAAAAATCAGCCCTGTTGGATCTGGAGTTCTGCCTTGACAAGATATAAAGCTCATTCATAGATCTGACTGTGCTCATGAGACTGCAGTTCAACTCCTGCTGCTAGAGCAAGGGGAGGGGGAAGGAAGATAGAAAGGGGTGAGTGGGAAGGAGGTGGAAGATCTGGGTTGTGACTATAATAGCTACAGTAATTAGAGTGTTTCCAAGCTGCTGGAGAAGTCTTCAGAGCAGGGAACTAGGATGAGAGATGGGGGAGGGGAAAAAGCATGAGGAAGCAAACTACTGAAAATGCTAGGAAAGTATATAGTGGTTTGTGAACAGTTTAAAACAAACCAAGGAACAACTGTGATGGCTTCATATGGGTAAATAAAGAACTTTATATTCTTTCCTATTAGTTAATACTATACAAATAACTGCAAGGCTCCCACTTAAAGCTAGCTTATGAACTAGGTTTAAGCAGATTATTGCAAATGTCCCTGACTTTGCAGTGGTCTACTGGCCCTGGCCTTATACCGCTGCCTCCCTTTCCCCTAAATCAATCGATCTATGTATCTAAACCTCTCTCTATTGCTCTGACAAACAGGTTAGAGTCTTCACTCCACTTGGAAAAGGGATTTCTGAACTCTAAACAGTTAATATCATTTATTTCCCTTCAATCAACTGTTAATTAATACCCAGTGAATTCAATGAGAGAATGGGCCTCAACAGGATCACATAGCCTGTTGTGTTGACCTAACACAGAAAATGACTGGAGGGCCCTAAAAAAAAAAAATCAGAAAATAAACACCCAAGTTATTTGCTCATACATTTTTGGCTCTATAGCACTGCCTACTATAGTGGCACGAACATGTGAAAGAAAAATAATATATTAACAGAAGATGATGATGGTAACCTACAAGAAAAACCTGGGAATTTGCAAAAAACCTAAAAATAGAAAGTCCTCCTCCAAGTTATAGGAAATGCTATACTTGTTTTTAAGATAAACATATAGTTGAGGTATTTCCTTAACATGATTTGGCTTGAGGTGATTTGATTCTAACAAGTGATGTTAATCTCAGTGCCAGAGAAAAGAGTTATAAAGGTGCTAGGAGAAACTAAAAATGAAACAGGACATCTGAAGAGATGCAAACTTCATATGGAAATTTACATTCATAAAATAAAAACACATGCAAATTTCTTGAGGGAGGCATGTCAGGTAGACCTACACAAAAAGTCAATTATATCCTTCGCATAAAATCTGCTGGGTATTCTCCCGGTGGGCAAAATCTTTTTCACCACACTGAAAGCAAAGAATTTTCTTCCCATTTCCCTCTAATAAACAAGCACTAGAAAACTGAATTACCACTATTTCCTTCCCATTCATAGGGCATAAAGCCAGAAATCACAGAAATACAATAGGGCCAGCTAGGACCATGTCTAAGGCATGTTACTCAGTATTCTAAAAGAAACACAGAGAAAGAAGAATCTCTTTTCTCTATTCCATTATCATCTCACTAACAAATCTGTATCTGGCATTAAGAAATGTGAAACAAACAGCAATTTCACACATATGAACTGAACCTCAACCACGGAAGACCCAGAATTTTCTTGTCACTGTGGCATGTGATTCTTTAACCACCTGCTCAATAATCCCTCTTCAGCTGCACAGCTGCTGCCAATTCCACATGCCCAGCTAGGCAGGTGCTCTGGTGAATTACCTGTTCCCTAGTGTAAAGAGTCCTTCACTGACACTTAGTGGGCCCAGAACCTGCCAATCAGCCTCACCGATCTTCATTTTGTTGGTCACAGCCAACTTTTATGAGAGATATCTTGAAGGCGTATTTAGCACGCTATGTGACTTTGTATTTTGTGGGGTTTTGTTCTTGTTGCTGTTGTTTTTTAAAGGAAACGGATTTTTAAAAATCAAGTAGAAGTGAAAATTCAGCTGCTAAAAAGAACTTGCCACACAACATAAGGCTGCCTTATCTCAGAGTGGCCCCATCTGTCTGGCAGTATTCCCATCCATGACTGGTTTTCCACAAGGGAAATAACAATTGCTCAGCTACCTTTGTAGCAGAAGAAAGTGGCAGTTGGAAAGTGCTATGGTACCTGGCAGGAATGATAGGGGAAGAACTTCTGAGATCACACATCATCCCTGTACTTCTTAAGTCTCCATGGTCGAGCCCAGGCAGTAGTGTTCAAGTCAAATAAATAAGGAGTGGCACTTCTACTCATCAGAGCAATCGCTAAACCCCTTAACAAATTTTCCTGTTCCAGTTGTTTAGTTGCTATATGCTAATTGCAACATAATTACTACCAGGAGCCAAAATTACGCTCCTATATCCTCACACAAAATAAGCACTAATCTGCCCAGCTATCTAGACCTCTCACAAGGAAACATCTACCAAGAAAACCAAAGTGCTCTCTGAAAGATGGTCACAATCAGAAGACTCAGAAGACTCTTTGGCAAGGGCCCAACTCTGAAACCACTAAATCTAATCTGGGCAAACTTAATAGGAGGCTTTTGCCTTCACTGTCACCTGACAGGATTCAGAATGAATGCCTACAACCCAAGAGCAAAATGCTTTGGACTCAGTTTAGCTGAGGCTTCATTCAGAGACCTTGGACAGGTAAGTTGGAAATAGTCTAAAGACAGACAACACTTCTAGTAAGACTTTAAGATAGTTTTGTCATCAAGAACAACATGTTCCCTCCCAACAAAGCCCAACACCTAAGTGGCAAGTCATCATTTTAAGAAATTCATTGAAATAAAGGGATGAGGGAGGCAACACAGTCAGACTCAGCCCCTCAGAAAAAGACCTCTACCAAAACCAAAGGCTAAAGTTCCTATTCAACAATACCCTATAGACTGTGGTTGGCTATTGTGTACACAGTGCATTGTGTGCAACTGCCCTCTCACAATGAGTCTAATTTCTAATCTCTTCTTAAAGGAAAGTTTTTATATTCTAAATGGAAACCTCACTTCTAATCCCAAATAATTTTTTACCCAACTAATAGTACCTAAATACTATCTGGACACTTCTATGAGACATTTACAAGGATAGGGTTTCTCCTAGCTTGTTCTCATCCTTCTCTCATTAATAACCCCCAAGACCTCAAATGATTTTTATGTTCATCACTTTGACAAATTTCTCCCTAATACAAAGGCAGAGATGGCCTTTCTGCACAACGGCAAGTCATCTCTTTTCATCAAATTAAAATAAAGATTAAAAGGAAAGCTGTTTTGTTTCCATAGCCCTCGCCCAGATAGGCAAATTCTGTGGCTTTTTCATTGTGCAATTAATACTGACCAGGAAGTCACCATTAAAAAGGTACTTGGTCCTTGACTCCCTATCTTAACCCTGCAAAGGTTTTTAGTGGTATTCCTAAGCAAGCAAAAAAATCATTCTTGAGTGTCCCATCTCTATAAAAAGAATTAAATATGATGGTTCAAACAAGAGTGGAAACCTCCCCTTGGAGTCTTCTTCCTTAAAGGTCTGACACAAACATCGGATTGAGTCTCCCAGACACGATTCCTCCACAACTTAGTACAGGCTAGCCAAAGAAGCAGGCACAACATGGCTGGCATCCCCTATTCTTCTGAAAAAATGTGTGCCAATGAGCTCTGCATTGTTCCTCACTCAAAAAGAAGAGCCTTTCTGTCTGGCCTCCTCCAATGGCAAGCCCCAGTCTGGAAAAGGAAGAAAATGGCACTGAGGAGCCTGGGAGATGGAGCATATCCAAAGCTCTCAGACAAGACTTGAACCTATGACCTTCACTGTGTACACAATAGGCGGGTGAGAGGGACCGGTTTATCTCTGCAGCAGCAGTTCTCAGCCCTGGGGTAGCACTCCCGATAAAATGACACAGACTATTGTGTGTGGCAGCAGAACAGTCATCTCCTCACAACAGCCTAAACCAGCACTCCCTCCCCCAAGACAAAGCAGCAGGGGTGAAATTAACTCAAGGCTGCAGAGCAAAGCCTAGTACAGAAAAGAGAGGCCTGTGGGGGATTGGGGACTCTCCTCTACCCCTGGGGCTCTGGACACATGGCTGCAAACAGACAGGCTTTCTCCCCCATCTTTCCCACTCTCATTTAGGTAGGAAGCTGTTTCTTAGAGAATTTAATCATCTGTGATTTGTTCAGAAATATTCCCCCTGAAGGGCTCTGATCTCTCCACCCTGTGTGAGCCTAATTCCTAGAAGCTGAAATGACTGCTGCTGCCTGTTTCACAAACACACATTAATTGGTCAGATGTGTCTCCTCCTCCTCAACCCCAGAGGGAGGAAGGAGAATCTGAGCAAAGCACAGTGATGATCCAACCGTAATTACACATAAAGGGAAAAGAGGGCAGCATGGGTTTTTCCAAACAGGACAGGGTCACAAATCCTCCCGGGGGTACAAGGAGAGCAGTTAAGGGCCAGGCCCAGGGATCCCTCCATCTTGAAGAAAAGGACAGGACGAAATGTGACCTGAAGACTGGAAGGAGCACACACCCACAACCTACTTACTGCACACTCCCGGCCACCTTGCTCCCCCCGCCCCCAGGGCCGCGCACACGTCCTGCTCCCAACCCTTCGCCCTGAACCCCCCTAACTCCCTGACTAGCCCCACCGCCCTAGGCCCCCTCGAGATACCCAGACTCGCCACTGAAACTCTCTGGCCTGTCCCCACAACCTGGCCAGACCCTAATCCTCTCTTGGGAACCCCTACCCTGAGGCTGAACCGGCCCGGCCACGCTTTGAACTTCACCCCGCGCCCCTCGACGCCCCCTCCCCCACCCACGCAACGACCCCCCTCCCCCCCAAACACACCTTCCCCTCGCTCCGCCCCGGCCCCCCAACCCCCACTTCCTCCGTCAGGCGCCGCTTTCCCCGGCCCCCTCAGCCTCGGCCCCCCTCAGCGCCACGGCCTCTCTCCTCCCCCAGCCCCGGCTCCACACAAAGCTTCGGACTCACCGCGCGGCCGGTCCCGGGAGCCGCCACCTCCGCCCGCCCGGGGCCCCGGGCCGTAGAGCCGCCGCTGCTACGGGGCCCAGGCCGCCATCCGTTCCCGCGGCCCCTCCCCCCCACCCCACCCCGCCTCAGCTCCGGCTCTCCGCCCCCTCCCCGCGCCGCTCCGCCCCGCCCGGCCGGTGCCGCTGTGTCCGGGGCCGCGGGTCCCTCAGCCGCCGCCACCGCCGCCGCCGCCGCCGCGATCCGGGACAACCAGGGCCGCCCCGAAGACCCGGAAAGTGGACTGCGGGGCCCTCGGATCTGGATTCCGGGCTGCTGTGGAGTCTGGAGCGGGAGTGCGCCGGGGAAACCCGGAACCTGGATGAAAGAGCCAAATCCTGGGTCTCGGAATGCGCGGTCACACGGAGCCCGGATTAGAGTCGTAGCTCTGGGAATGCTGGAAAACCCGGCGAGCCGGTTAAACAGAGATAAACTCGAAGAAACCTGGATTGGAGAGCTCGAACCTAACGCTCTCCCCTCGTGGAAAGAACTCTCGCTGGACCAGACTTCCCCGCAGAGAGGTCTCTGGGGAAGTATCATACCTTAAATACAGGACACCAGTTCCGTAGGTGTCCTTCCACCGTGGGGAGAGGAAAAGGCCGTTAAGGGGTCTGAACGTGAACATCCACAAAGAACAGAAGAGCAAGAATAGCTCAGAATGGTTTCATCCATTTTATCCTTTGGTTCAGAAAATTATCAACCCCCTAATTTTTTTATCCTTTGTTCTCCAGTTTCTTTTTCTTGGGATTACCACTTGTTTTTCTCTCCAAAGTACCAACTTCTCATCTTTCTATATCCCTTTTCATCTCACCATCCTGTATCGCCAAATCTTGCTGCTTTTTATTATCTAAAAGCCATATTCTGTCCTTCTCCAACCCACCATTCTGTTTCTAACGACTGTAACTTTTACCTTTCCATATCTGTCAACTGTGATTGTCCAGCGCACTGCACGGTAGACATTCAGTCCGTGTTTACGTGAACCCTCCCACCCACCTCTCACTTGTGAAATATACTCTCCATGACCTTTTCCCTAAAACTTCCACCTCCTTCCATAGCAAAGAGAAATTTCTTAATTCTCAAGGCTCCCCTTTCTTAGCCCCTTAACTTATGTCCTTCCTGTGTCCTTGATCATTTTAGCTCTTCAGTTTTTGTCTTTCCTTTCCTCCCTTATCCTGAGGCATCCTTCAACAGTGCCACTCAAAATAGTGTGTGACTTGGGGATACAGCCAGATAATAAAACCCCTTTACTCTCCACACACACACACACACACACACACACACACACACACACGGTGGGGGTGGGGTGGGGGGCTAAAGATGAACACTAAGCCTGTCCGGCCTAGGAAGAATAATCTCCCTTTGGCCCACCAATATTTAACTTGTTCTAGTACAGTACATGTAGGGCAGAACTGATTCTGGGTGACAGCACACTTCCAATCTCTACTAGGCAATGTTACAAGTGAGGATTCACTACTTAGCACGTAGAGAAAGAGTAGGGTTTGGTATTTTAGACTTAGATGTGACTTAATTAAGAGTTAACACTCAAGCAGTCATCTTCTACTGAAGAGCATGACCCTACCATTGGGGAGGACAGGACTGCAAAAATAGGGAAAAGAAGAAAATAAACAGTACTATAGTGAACCTCAATTTTTAGCCAAACAAAGTTCTCAAGCTTGAAAGAACCACCCAAAATTTTTAAGTGATGTCCTGTACACTGAAAGAATCTTAAGTTTTGACTTCCTGTTCCTCTAGACCAGGGGTTGGCAAGTTATGGCTCACAAGCTCACTGCCTGTTTTGGTATGTCCCATGAGCTAAGAGTGGTTATTACATTTTTAAATGGCTGAAAAATAATCAAAATAATACTTTGTGGTGTGAGAATATGAAATTCAAATTTCAGTGTCCATAAATAAAGTTTTATGGGCTCATAGCCACACTCATTCATGTATGCATTATCTATGAATTCATTTGCACTGTTAACAGCAGAGTTGAATCGGTGTTAACAGAAATTTGTATGGCCTGGAAAGCCTAAAATATTTACTATCTGGCCCTGTACAGAAAAAGTGTGTGGACCCCTGCTCTGAATAAGCACTGTCCAATAGAATTTTTTGTAATGATGGAAATGTTCTATATTTGTGCCCTCCAGTTCAGAAGTCACTAGCCACATGTGGCTGTTTGAACCTTTGAAATTTGGTTAATGTGACTAAAGAACTGAATTCTTAATTTCATTTAATTTAAAAAACCACAAGTGGTTAGTGGCTACCATATTAGACAGTACAACTCTAGACTCTTCTCAAATCTTCTGTATCATTTTTTTGCCCTTTGTGCCAACATCTTACTCCCTTCCTGTGTCACAACTCTATATGGATTCTTAGTTCCCCCAGCGCCCTACCCCCAGCCCTATTTATTTGACTCCAAGGTAAAATACAACATTTACTGGGTTTTCTTTCTGAGCTCTCCATTGTCACAACTGAAATCTGATCAGTTTACCAAGTTTCACCCCATGTATTGATCCACATTATGTGCACACATATAAATGGACATTTACACAAGTTTGTGTTCAAGGATGGAACTGTGCTATGTTCTTTCTTCTCTGCGTGAGAGAAGTAGAAAAGCCCTCCACATGCTGGATCCCTTGTTGCTGCTGGAGCCTGTGATATGGATCACCTCCCTCCAAACACATTCAGAGAAGCTCAGAACAGCAGATGTATACTTGCTATTTGAATCTCAAGGAAAAAAAATCCTTCATCACAAGCCTTTCTTTCCTCCCCCTAGGCCTAATAAACTGAAGTTAGTTGATTTCTCTAGTTTAATAGATGCTTGCTTTTTTACTGGCCTTTTTTAGCTGGGCAAGAGAACAACCCCAACACTGTCTCAATCTTGGCTAGGAGTTCTAGCAAAAGCATTAAAAAAAATTTACCAAACTAAATGAAATCCACATAAATGGGCTTTAGTAGAGATGCAGTTAAAATGGAAAGAGATTAAATAAAAACTTATAACTTTGTAATTATTTGTAAAAGTAATCTTTAAAGTCTAAATTTTTCACAGCTACACCCTAGGAAAAATGGGTTTCTGTAAACTTTCAGCCTAAAGAGAAAAGGGGGGACACCTAGTTCCCTTTCCCTAGATTAGCTATAGCAAGCAAAAAAAAAACCCAAACCAAACCAAACAAACAAAAAAACCTTACTCCATTCCAAACATCTGACTGCAAAGCCAGAGTCTCCTAAACCCTGACAAGAAAGTATCTAGTTTCATATATATCCCACTCTGAGCTTACATAATTGAGACAGGGACCTGCCTAGAAAAACAGAAACACTGAATCCTTCAGGTACTATACAAATTGAGAGTCACTGGACCCAACCATCCAAAAGGGGGCGCCGATAATATTTAGGCTGCAAAAGAAAACCAGCTCAGAAATGTGAAATTTCCCTCAGGCCAAGCCGTCCCAGAGTTAAAAGGGTCAGTGCAAAGTATTGTAAAGCACCGAGAGGCAATTCCTGGGCGAGTTTGTATTCAGGATGCTAGGAATTTCCACTAGGCTTTAAATTATGCTATTCATCACTGAGCAACTGAGGACCATCTACCCCCAAGTCTTTCCCACACTTCCTCCCCAGTGTCCTACAAATAAAAGACAGACCTTACACCATCACCATGTGAACTAAAGACAGGCTTTCACAGTCTAACCATGAAAAGAAGTTTCCAAGTTACTCTGCCATTTACTCATGTGGCTCCAGCTGCATATTTTGGATGCTGAGGTGGGTTCTTGTAAACTTGTAATGTTCTTGTAAACTTTATCACAGCACACAAAATGGTCTCATAACCTGATCTTGCAGGTCCTGATGTTTTTCTTTAGGCATGCACACACAATCTATCCAGGTGAAAAAAAATCAATCCAGACTCCTCTGTGCTTGAGCTGTCATTCCCGTAAAAAGGCAGAAAACTTGTTGGTGTTCCCTAGGCCCTTTACCTCCTGCCTTTCAGTTTTATTTTGGTATTCGGAAAACCAGACAATTCCCGTGCAGAGTTCATGGTACTACTGCACGGTAAAATATTAACCCAGCGTGTCTTCATTAATAGTACTAGGGTCTTCAGGAGACCAGAATGAAATTTTTTTTTCCCCCTAAAGAAGTACCATTGGCTGTTCTTTCCACTTTCTCTACAGAAGTTGAACAGGAAAAGAATGAGAATACTGCCTGTCTGCATTACCGGAACAAGAACTGGGTGGGTTTTCCCTGGGAATCCAGAGTGATCAGGCCCCACAAAACCAGTGCCTAGAGCTATGCAACAAGCAGGGTTCACAGTTGAGTGAACATCAATGCATATGAGTGCAGGCATTTCAATGCAAATACATGCTGAATATGAAGGATTAAAGAAAGGGGAAATTAATCTTTTTCATAACACAGGGCACTTTTTTTTCTCTCCTGTGCGCTCTCTTTTTTAAGTCATGCACACAACTGCTGGAGGGAATCCAACTTCCCTAGTGTGGTGGTGGTGCTTTATAAAAAGCAGAACATACACATTTAAGACCATGAATTTCCTGAGGATGCCAGCAACTGAGATTCTGACAGCTCTACTGAACAGCCTCAGAAAAAAAGTGCTTCACTAAGTGGGGCCAGACTGAGGAGTGAAAATCTCATTTCAAATCAACCTTCTATTTTTCCAAAGCTCATAGCTTCCTGAGCTGTGGATAGTTTAAAGGGTTGGGTTTCAGCATTTGAGGGTATTTGAATACATTTACTGAAGGGACTTTATTTTTTAGTTTGTTTCTAATTGCCCCATCCAAGTGGTGCTTTTGCAATACCCACAACAATAAATAGGGCAGTTTCATGCTGCTTTAACAGGTGGCTCTATCTCCTCCCAGTCTGATCCTCTTATGTCCTAACATCTCAAACCAAAGAACAAAGTGGCAGCACCCCTTCAGGTTATCCCTTAAAAAAAAAAAATCTGCCAAAGAAGGTTATTCAGCTTTTGAAGACTGTTCACTTCAAGAGATGTTGGACGAGAGCAAAAAACTTGTTAAAACCCCTTTCTGTCCCATCACAGGTTTGTATTAAACACAGGATTTCTCAAACATCCTAATACTCCAACCAGGCTATTACTTTGAAA